TAAAGACCAGGTATTTTTTTTTAACCCACGTTATCAAGTTATTGTTGAATGCCATTTTACTTTACCTCCCAAGTAAAGCTGGTGAAAGGATCAACTTTAAATGTCATATTTGACTGATTTATTTTTAACATGATTTCAGAATCCCTAAGTTTTTAAATACCGTGAAAATGGAAATCAGATTATTCTGTTAAACCAAAATAAATGAATGATTCCTTTATGGACCTTACTGCAGAAGAGAAAGGATAGGTTGAAGACCGTGAGGAAAAGGAAGAACCTTAAATTCTAGAAGTTAATTTACTAAAAAGTTTTTAATCTGTGTTGTAGTTACTTCGGACTCTTAACCCATTTTAATTTGTTTTAGGAACTTTTGATGGACAGATTTCAAGACCCAGGAATGTGCTTTGACATCTGCAGTTGTCAGTTTGTCTGTCATTACTCATTTGAGTCCTATGAGCAGGCTGATACGATGCTCAGAAATGCCTGTGAGAGACTTAGCCCTGGGGGCTATTTTATTGGTACTACCCCCAATAGCTTTGAACTGATGTAAGTACTTCTAAATAGATTGTAGTTTACAAAATATTTGGTATTAAGCATACAATATTAAGCAGTAAATGTTTACAAGAAATAGATTTTTCAAAACATGCCATGTTAATCTCAAAAGTGCCGAACGTTTTGATAATGTGTTTGAGTAGATATTCAAAGTTTAAGTTCAAAAGACAAATTTACAGATGAACTTTTAAAACCTCTTTATGTGTTAGGAGACCAAAGTTATAGTGGTAGGCAAAGTCCAGGTCAGGTACACAGAGGCTTAACCAGCTGTCATGAGAGTGATACCTACTTCCAGCCAATTTTTTTTGGTAAGCCTGCTAGTGATCTTGTAGTATATTGCTTCTTAAAAGTAGCTCACATCCAATTGAAAAGCTAATCAAGTGTCTTTTAAAATTGTATCATGTAATTTTTCACGTGCATAATCAGACAAAGTAAGTCTGTGCTATTCACGATTTTAATCTTTTTATTTTGGTTGGGCAATGACCCTGATAGAAGACGCCTGGAAGCTTCAGAAACAGAATCATTTGGAAATGAAATATATACTGTGAAATTTCAGAAGAAAGGAGATTATCCTTTATTTGGCTGCAAATATGACTTCAACTTGGAAGGTGTTGTGGATGTCCCTGAATTCTTGGTGTATTTTCCATTGCTAAATGAGTAAGAATGCCATTACTCTGTTACTCTTCTCTTTTTGTCTTAAGAGAGAAAGAAAAGGAGAAAAAAAAAATCAGTGTTGCTTTTCATTCCTTATTTTAAATGTGGCCCAAAGAAAAAGTATAACCTTGCAAAAAAGCCTTACATCTAGGATTGGTGCCATAGGTCTCTTAACAGCCTAACTTACTTACTTTTCTTTCATTCCTGGAATTATTTTACCCTGTGGCTAAGAAAGGGAGCCAGTTGCCTTCACCTCGTGGCACAAAATGACTGACATTGCAAATAGCAAATTTTTTTTTCCCCAAGTGACTTGCTGGTAACTTTGGTAATATACGATGAGTCTTCATCAATCAAAGACCGTCCTTTTGACAGAGATAGGTATTAAAAGTTGCTTGCATTTCACTACAACTTTGAAGTTGCCTGTGTCTCCAAGGCAATGTTGGTAGTAAAATCCTGATTTAGGAATGTCTTCCCCCATGCGCCTGACTTCCTAGGAATCCTGGCAAACTGTAGACATAGAAAAAGCTGGGGGTTACGGGCTTTCTCGGGTAAGGCTTCAAGGCCTTGGGATGTACCTTGTTCACCAGAAATTCCCTGACAGGGAGAGCATAAAAGTCAACTTAAATATATGCTACATCATAATTGATCAAACTTGATTT